TTATTAATATTATTCTTAATATTATTATTATTCGTATTGTTCGTCATTTTCTTCTTATTAAAATCAACACCATTATTATGATTACGATTACGATTATTATTATTATTACTATTATTATTCTTACTATTATATTGTAAGTTCTCTTCTTCTTATTATTATTAATATTCGTCTTACGATTCTTCTTACTGTTCGTCGTCGTCTTATTCTTCTGAGTCGTCTTATTCTTCTTAACGCTATTCTTATTAATCGTTTGCTTCTTTTATTATTACTATTATTATTATTAGTATTATTATTAGTATCCGTATTTTTCTGATTCGTCCTCCTCCTTCTCCTCCTCCTCCTCCACCACCTCCACCACCTCCTCCTCCTCCTCCTCCTCCTCCTCCACCTCCACCTCCTATTCCCCCTCCTCCTCCTCCTCCTCCTCCTCCTCCTCCTCCTCCTCCTTCTCTCCTCCTCCTCCCCCTTCCCCACCTCCACCACCACCTCCACCTCCCCGCCCGTTCCTCCCCCCCCCCCCCCCTCCCCCCCCCCCTCCCCCCTCCCCCTCCCCTCCCCCCCCTCCCTCCCCCTCCTCCCCCTCCCCCTCCCCCTCCCCCCTCCCCCTCCCACCCCTCCTCCCCTCCTCCTCCTCCTCCTCCTCCTCTCCTCCTCCTTCCTCCTCCTCCTTCCTCCTCCTCCTCCTGCTCCTGCTCCTGCCTCCTGCTCCTGCTCCTGCTCCTGCTCCTGCTCCTGCTCCTGCTCCTGCTCCTGCTCCTGCTCCTGCTCCTGCTCCTGCTCCTGCTCCTGCTCCTCTCCCCCCCCCTTCACACTTACTCAATATGACTACTACTTTCCCTATTACCCCTGATGGCGTGCTGGAGTGTTCGACCCCCCCCCCCCCCCCCCGCGTACTGTTCTTTACACACAGGATTCCCGGGATTTGGGTTTTCGCTTGCATTTTTTTTCAAAATGCTGCTCTCGACGAGGCGGCGGCCTCATTTTCAGGCCCCGCTCGTTCCGAATCGTGCTCCCGCTGGAGCGCTGGCCTCATTTCCGCGCTTCCGCTCGTTCCGAATCGTGCTCCCGCTGCAACGCTGGCATCATTTCTGCGCTTCCGCTCGTTTCGACTCGTGCTCCCGCTGCAGCGCTGGCGTCATTTCCCGTGCCATCCCACGGCATGCAATGCAATGCTAGGTTGATACTACGCTTCGAGGTGCTCTTCTACGCCATGCCACGCCGTGCTCTACAATGCATCGCGTACCCTTTCGGGATCATTGCCCTGCTCGACATCCGACTGTGCGAGTAGAGAGGGGATCTGCGCCATCGTAAGGGATGGGAGGGAGTGTCAGATATGACGCGAGCGCACCTAGCTTGCCCCCTCCACCTCCTCCTCCCCCTCCTCCCCCCCCCATTCCGAATCTCCCTCCCCCCCCCCATTTCCCCTTCCCCCTCCCCCCCCCCTCCGCCGTGCCCCCTCCCCCTCCCCGTCCCCCCCCCCCCCCCTCCTCCCTCCTCCTCTCCCCCCCCCTCCCCCTCCTCTCCTCCTCCTCCTCCTCCTCCTCCTCCTCCTCCTCCTCATCCTCATCCTCTTCCTCCTCCTCCTCCTCCTCCTCCTCCTCCTGCTCCTGCTCCTGCTCCTGCTCCTGCTCCTGTTCCTGCTCCTGCTCCTGCTCCTGCTCCAGCTCTTGCTCCTGCTCCTGCTCCTGCTCCTGCTCCTGCTCCTGCTACAGCTCCTGCTACAGCTCCTGCTCCTGCTCCTGCTCCTGCTCCTGCTCCTGCTCCTGCTCCTGCTCCTGTTCCTGCTCCTGCTCCTGCTCCTGCTCCTCCTGCTCCCCTTGCTCCTCCTCCTGTTCCTCCTCCTCCTCGTCCCCGTCCTCGTCCTTGTCCTCGTCCTCGTCCTCGTCCTCCTCCTCGTCCTCCTCCTCCTCCACCGCCGCCTCCGCCTCGGTCCGCCTCGGCCTCGGCCTCCACTCGCTTCCCTCATGAATCGCCTCTCCCTGCTGCATCCCGAAGCTATTTTTTGGGGCGGGCAGGGCGTTTCGGCTCACACTTCCTCACCACATATGATTCTGAAGTTTTTTAAACATGGCAATATCTTCACGGATGGAGGGCGGGTGGTTTTCAATATATGGATATCGCCTGCGCGCGGTCTACATTCCTTGAAATACAAGAGCTTCACGGATTGAGGGCGTGTGGTTTTCAACATGTGGCCCTCGCCTTCGCGCGGCGCGATTTGGTTTAAAAACGTACAAGGTCTTCACAGATTGAGGGCGGGTCGCTGTCAAAATGTGGCGCGCGCCTTAGCGCGGCGCACACTAATTGCACACAATTGTAAAGATCCTCGCGTATTGAAAGCGACTTCTTTTCAAAATGTGGTTATCGCCTTAGCGCGGCGCGCATTCGTTTCAGACATGTACAGGAACTTCTCGGATTGACGGCGGGTGGTTTTCAAAAATGGTTCTCGCATGAGCGCGGCGCACATTCGCTTTAACAATTTAGAAAGGCTCCACGGGTTGAGGGCGGGTGGTTTTCAAAGAATGGCTCTCGCCTTAGCGCGGCGCACGTTCGTTTTAAACATGCGCAAGAGCTTCACGGATTGAGGGCGGCCCCTTTTCCAAATGTAGCTCTCGCCTTGGCGCTGAGCACGCTCGATTTAAATCCGCCGATCTGGCGTGTGAGTTTCAAAGGCCCTCAAAACAGCCTGAGCCTCAATTCGTGAGCTTCAGCTCTACTGGTGGTGGGAGCCAAGGTGGCTCTGCCAGGGTAGGGGGGGGTCGGTTTAATCCCCAGGGCGGGATCGGAGCTCCTCCAAATCACTCCGGGACGGCCCCCTCGCCCAGGAGGGCCCCAACATGAGCCAAAGGACCCCGAGTCGCCGAACGATCGCTACAAGACGCCCGAGATGCCCCCAAGACGGCTCCTGAAGCCTCCAAAATGCCCTCAGAAGCCCTGAAAAAAAAACTTCCGAAAAACAAGAAAAACCCAAGGAAGCAAAAACTGTCCCATTCCGAAAGGAAAAACGTGCATATTTAGCAGATCCACCTCTTGGGCCTTCGAGAGCGCCGCAAGTGCCCCAAGAGAACCCCCAAACGGCCCAAGAAACCGCCAGGAGGGCTCCACGACGGCCGAAAAAAGGACCCCAAATGGCCCAGGAGGCGCCCGGAAAAGCCCAGGAGGGCCGAAGGGCGGGCCCAAGAGGCGCCTGAGAGGGCGCCAAAACGGCGGAAAAAGTGCCCGGGACGGCCCAAAAAGCCCGCGGCGGGCCCCCAGAGGCCCCTCAGAGGCTTGAAGAAGCCCCAAGGCGCTTCCAACTGGCCCCGAAGAGGCCCCCTGAAGCCCCCTAGCGCCCCCGAGACTCTCAAAAAATGCATCCAAGGAGCCTTTCTAGAGGCATCCAAGCTGCCTCCAAGACTCCCCCCGGGAAGCCCAAAACTGGCCCCAATGTTTCCGCAAAGCTTGCGTCTGAACACAAGCGCTGCAATGCAAAAGGCTCTTCCACGCTTTCACATGTTCCCCCGTCTCTGGTGTCCTTCACATCCATGATATCATTGGGCCCGCACAAAACCGCGCGAAGACCCCAGAGACCCCCAAACACACAATTGCTCCCAGCGCAGACCGGTGATGCACAAGGCTCCACAAAGGACTGTGACGCAGACGGAACTAGCACAATTTTTTCAGAGAGCGCGCCAAATCGGCGAGAAATGGCAACCCAAAGAGGGTCAACCCCTGGCCCAAAAAAAGCTGTCCAACAACCGTCGAACATCTCCAACAACCGCCGACAATTTCCTCATCCTCGTCATGCTCCTCCTTCTTCCCCTCCCCATCTTCCACGTCCCGCTTCCCCCTGCTCTTCCTCATCCTCAGCATCCTGCAACTCCTGCCCCTCCCCCCATCCAACCCCCTCCACCTCATCATGATCCTTCTCCTCCCCCTCCTCATCTTGCCCCGTCGCCTCCATTCCCAATCCTCATCATCATCCTCACCGCTCGCCATCGTCGCCGGTCATGGCCGCCATCGCGCGCTTCCGGCAGCAACGGAAATGCCCCGGATCGGCGGCACTGGCCGGAGGCCGCTACAATATTTGCAAGAATTTCACGGATTCCCCTCATCAGCGTACAAGAAGCGGTGTTTGAAGCGATTCAGGATTACGCGGGCGCAACAGTCACGTTGATTCGCTGCGTTGAGCTCCCAAGACTGGCGTTCCGGCACGACTCTGGATCGTCAACACGCAACAATCGAGTTGATCCGTGCCACTGGAATCCCAAGGACAATGCTTTGGCATGCTGCAGGGTCTTCAAGCGGTTCTCTTCCAACAAAGCAGTTCCCTCAACGGAAATGAGCCGTTGTAGGAGCCTATGAAGCGGGAGCACGGAGAGAGAAACCTCCTTTTCCTCCTCCTCCTCCTCCTCCACCTCCACCTCCTCCTCCTCCTCCTCCTCCAGCTCCAGCTCCAGCTCCAGCTCCAGCTCCAGCTCCTCCTCCTCCTCCTCCTCCTCCTCCTCCTCCTCCTCCTCCTCCTCCTCCTCCTCCTCCTCCTCCTCCTCCCCCTCCTCCTCCTCCTCCTCCTCCCCCCCCGCCGCGCGCCCTCTGACACTCTGCCGCCCTCTCTTCCTAGAGGCGCGGAAACCTCCCTGCGCGGTGGCTCGCGCGCCTCCCCGTGGGGCCACGCGCGAGCGCTTACGCGCGGCCGGCCGCGCGCGGGCGGCTCGCGCGCGCGCGCGCCGGGCGACCCCGCGGCGCGGTAGGCGCCCCTCCCCGGGGCGACGACGACGACGACGACGACGACGGCGGCGGCGACGACGACGACGACGACGACGACGACGACGACGACGACGACGACGGCGACGACGACGACGACGACGACGACGACGACGAGGACGACGACGACGACGACGACGACGACGACGACGAGGCCGACAGCCGACGCCGAAGCCGGCAGAAGACGACGACGACGACGACGACGACGACGGCGCCGACGCCGACGCCGACGCGCACGCCGTGGCGTTTCGCCGCGCCACCTGTGGTGGACGTAGACGGCGTCCTTCCCCAGGACCGCCACCTTTGAGGGGCAGCGTTAGGGGCCAACGTTCGGGGGGAAGGGGCCCGAAGTGTCGAAGCTCGAGGTTTCGAACGTCGAGGTCTTCTGACGTTTGCGCTGGTTCTCGGCGGGGTTCCAGCCTCAGGTTCCGGAGGCAAATCCAGCGTCGGCGAAGAGGGCCTCCAAGGAGGCCGGAAAAGGGGGAAACGAGGGAAGGGTAGAGGTATGGGTACCTCTTCCTCCTGTGACTATCGGCGATGCATGGGCGATTGGGGGGCGATGCATCCACCCCTAAGCTTAAGTCGGGCGTGTCCCACTACAGGGGGATTTTGGACAAAGTATTGAACATGTTCCAGAAATACTAAAAAACTTCCACAATAATTTAAAAATACTTCCTTGACTAGTTTTGAATATTCCTCCTGTAGAGGGACAGGCCCGACTTAACCCTAAGCCTATCTCCCCCGAGCTGCGCTGCCCCCGAGCCTTGAGGAAACCCATGGGGAGCAGCAGGCCGTCGACCGCCATGGACGTGCGGCGGCTGGTCTCCACGACGATCGCCCGCACCTGCAGCCTGTCGAAAGGGAAGTTGCGGAAGATCTCGACCTCCGCGCCCTCGCAGGGAACATAAGAAGACGAGGCCAGGACGATAATTTATTCGGGTAAGGATCAATCGAGAATCTCTGAGATCCGGCGGCTCTGGAAGATGTTTTGGGCGTCTGTGGGCCTGTCCGACAGAAGCACAGTCGGGTCGGCGCTGGGCGTAAGTCGGGCATGTCCCTCTACAAGAGGAAAATTCAAACATAGTCACCAAGGGGACGAACTTTGGGCTATTTTCTGACAATTGTTGAACATTTTTGAATTTGTTTTTTTCGTCCAAAGTCTGCCTGTAGGGGGACATGCCCGACCTAACGCTGGGCCCCTGGGGAGCTGCCCCAGGTGCCCCCAGAGCCGCCCGAGCAGTGCCCCGACCAGTCCGCCGTGGAACTGCTGCCTCTCCAAACCACGAGGAGTCAGGTCAGAAATGTTAGAAGGCAGGCCAGGATGTTTAGGAGGTCTTCGTTGGAAGGACCAAGGAGAATTAGACCTCATTGGGGGGCTGTTACGCCAGATTGGGCCACAGATCAAGCTGGATTAAGCGGGATTAAGCGGGATTAAACCAGATTAAGCCGGATTTCGGACCAAGATAAAGTCAGAATTTGACCTCCCAGGCTTTGCATCCGAAACAAATGGGCCAACTGGCCATCACCTGGAGGAACTCGACCTCCCCAAACGCTGACCAGACGCTGCATTCGAGGAACAAAAAAACGTCATCAACACAAGTTCACTGATCTCCGCGAAGTTTTCTTGGACCCGCGCTGGGCGCCCCCCTTTGATGGCGCGGGAAGCGCGCAGGGACGGAGCCGGAGACGCCGCCAAGGGGGATCCGATAGATCAGAGCGAACCTCAGAGACATCATGTGTATGCAGCTGTTTCTTCCTCGACTCCTGGTCATCACCTGGAGGGTCTCGACCGACCTGAACGCTGACCAGACCCCCCTTCTTGTCGGCGGTGAGCGAGGGGGGAAAGCGAGAAGGGGCGGGCCTTCTCAGAAGGCTCGGGCGTCCCTGGGCCTTCCGAAAAGTTGTTGCAGCCTTCCCCCGAGACACCGAAGACCTCCTGGAAGACAGGGGGGCCTCTCAGAAGCCCCGCCGCCCTCTGCGAGGGCGTCCTTTTTCTCACTTCTCCCCTGGGCTCGCCGCCGACTTTGGACCCCGACCCTCGGCGTCCACGGAGGGTCTCGACCGACCCGGGCGCCGCCCAGACGCCCCGTTTTCTCCAGGGGCTCTTCGCGTTTCTCCGCGCCGGGCGAGGCGCGCAGCGCGAAGGACTTCGCGCTCCCGCGCCGCCCCCCAAGGGAGAGGAGGAGGAGGAGGAGAAGGAGGAGGAGGAGGAGGAGGAGGAGAAGGAGGAGGAGGAGGAGGAGGAGGAGGAGGAGAACGAGGAGGAGGAGGAGGAGGAGGAAGAGGAGGAGGAGGAGGAGGAGCGAGGAGCGAGGAGCGACGGGCGAGGGGCGAGGAGCGAGGAGCGAGGAGCGAGGGGCGAGGAGCGAGGAGCGAGGAGCGAGAAGCGGGGAGGAGGATGAGGAGGAACAGCCGAAACGCGAAGCGAAGAACTTCGCGCTCTCGCGAGGGCGCCCCTGTTTTTCTGTTCGATCCCGAACCTCGGCGTCCACTGAGAGAAGGTCGACGACGAGCGGCCCCGAGACCGCGGCCGGGGCTCCCGCCAACGCGCCGGGCAGGCCCTCCTCGATGAGGCTTTCCAGGGGCGCGCAGCGCGCCTCGAAGTAGGTCCCCCTCGAGATCACGTTTCTGCGATATGCGTCCAATATTATGTGACTGCAGTCAATGTGTATATATGTACGTGTGTGCGCATACATACATATATAAATATAAATGTATATACACATACATTTCCAAATGCATAGATCCGGGAAGCCGTATACATAATATGTTTACACATGTACGTGTGTGTATATATTTATATAAGTGCACTTGTATCTGGACAAACATGTTTTCGGGGGACGTGAAAGGTAACTTGGATTGGGCACAAATCGCCCCCACACCATCCCTGGATCAGCTGAATGGGGTTGGACACATGCTGTCGGAAAAGGGTGGATGGGGGTTGGACGAGGAGGAGGAGGTGGAGGAGGAGGAGGAGGAAGAGGAGGAACGGACCAGTGCAAACCAAAGAATCATCTACAACGTTGGAATTAATAGTCCCTCCAAGCTCTCTCTTCATGAACCCCAGCAACGGTTCATTTCTATTGATCGAACGGCCTCGTTGGAAGACACCCTTGAAGACCCTGAAGCATGCCGAAACATTGTTTTCGGGATTTCAACGCCACGCATCAACCTGACTGCTGCGTCTTGACGATCTGGAATCGTGCCAAAACGCCCTTGACATTACGAAATAACAGAACTGGTGCACCCGCGTAATCCGGAGTCCGTCCAAAATACAATTTCTGGCACGTTGACAATGGGAACCCGTGGAAACATATGTTGTGAACGAATGCGCCCGGCTGTAAGGCAGGCGATAACCACATTTTGAAACCCACCCGCCCTCAATCCGCGAAGCTCCTGGGTCTTTAAAGCGAGCGCGCGCGACGCTAAGGCGAAAGCCGCACTTTGAAAACCACCGGCTCTCCATCTGCGAAACTGCTGCCACTTGTTAATCTTCAAAATCAGAGTGGTGAAAAAGTCCCAAGCGGAACGCCCAGCCTGCCTTAAGAACTGGCCTCGGGGCGCGCGGGGAAAATTCATGCATAAGGAAAAGGACTGGAGAAGGAGGAGGGGGAAGGCGGAAAAGGAGGAGGAGGAGAAGAGTGAGGAGAGGGAGGAAAAGGAGGAGGAGGAGGAGGAGGAGGAGGAGGGGGAGGAGGAGGAGGACGAGGAACTGGAGGAGGAGGAGGGGAGGAGGAGGAGGAGGAGGAGGCGGGGGGGAGGGAGGAGGAGGAGGAGGAGGATGAGTATGAGGACGAGGAGGAAGAGAAAGAGGAGGAGTAGGGCGTAGGATGAGTCTTCTACAGGATGAGCCGAGGTAGGTGTCTGGGAGGAGGATGAGTAGGATGTTGATGCTGACGGAAGCAGTGAGAAAAACAACATAGAAAAACGAAAAGAAAAAAGCAAAAAAAGAAGCAACATAGGAAGCAGTGAAGCATTGAAGTCCTGTTTGAAAAGGCCCGCGTGGGGCAGGACAAATACTATAATACAGCCGGGCCAGTATCACTCTGGATCGCAGCGCGCTCGCCCAAAAGGCGAACGCTGGAGCTAAATCGCGCCACGCCTCACGATATGGTGTTTGTTGCTTCCATTTTTTGCGACCTCCATCCGTGCAAAACCTCTTGAGTACACGCTCGCATTTCATCCACGGCCGTTTTTTGTTTTATTCGTTAAATACTTTTCAATAGAAAACGGGCCTCTCTGGACGTTGCCATCTGTGGTTGGCTACCTGCCACGACGAATCACGCCAACATGTCACTAGACTGCGCCATTCTGTAACCGGCATGCGCGCAAAGTGCCCTGCCCACTAACACTTCTTTATGAAACGCTCGAGGGCCCAATCCTTCCACCCTGCGTCGGAAGCGAAGCGTCTGGCTTGACGGGTTGTTCTTTGCATCCAAGCCACACAATATTCCCCTCCTCCTCCTCAACCACTGCAAACAATTCTCCTCAACGTGGCATTTTGCGTGGCTCGCAGTCTTCTCAATTCCTCCACCCGCGGCGTCTATGATTCAGCTCCCCGCAGAAGCGAATAAAAATAAAAGAGAAAAAAAAAAAATAAAAAGATAAAAAAAATAAAAGATTTAACAAAAAAAAAAAAAAAAAACAAAATAAGAAGCGTCCCCGCCACAACGCTGTTGAAAAGCCTCAAACGCTTGTTTAATGAGAAATGCGTCGTGATCAACAACCTCCTCAAAGACCAAAATTTCGACCATCCTGTTGCAATGCGGCGTGCAATTTCACTACCTGTCGGGACCTGCAGAGACAACTTAATACGCAAACGATCTAGACACGCTCCGTGCGGCAATACATGAATAGAGAAGCCCACCTCAATCACAATGCTCCCTCTCTGGAAATCTTCCTTTGTGGTCTGGGGTTGACACTTCGCTGGGTGAAACGACGAACCTCTGCTGTTGAGCGCACTCCAGAGTATAACCAGCATGCGTTCCATTGAAAACCAAGAGCGAGCCACCCAACGCCCGGCCATCTGCGAATGCGATATGAGTTAAGCGCTCCCCACAAACCTCCTGCCCCACGTTCGTGCCGCATCCTCTCTTCTTCCAGATACAGTTGGCTTCGCGGAGAGCGCCATCCAAAACCAAATTAAACAACACAGGAGACAGCGGATCATCTTGATTAACTCCCCTGTCCACGACAAATTCACGACTGGTTGCACCAGGCCATAGCACGACATATCCTGTCACATCAAAATACAGGAGTGCACCGACCACCTGAACATCAATACCTTTATCAAGAAGCGAATCCAACAACGACGAATGGTGAACTCTGTCGAATGCGTTTTCTACGTCCAGCGTGGCCACCCAAAGCTCTCCCCCCCATCCCAGCGACTTCTCTACCACCGTGCGCATAATGTGTACAGCGTCTGCACATCCACGCCCAGGTCTGAATCCGAACTGCTCTCTCCCCTGACACCTCTCGAAGCACGGCAAAATTCGGTTGTACACGACCGTGCTGAAAAGCTTACACATGACAAATATCACTGCGATTGGCCGGTAATTGTTCAGCACTGTATCCCCTTTTTTGAGAAGAATACGGAATTTCATCCGTCCCCACTCTTCTGGCGGAGGAGGGGGGGCGGAGAAGGAGGAGGTGGAGGAGGAGGAGGACGAGAGGCGCAGGAGGAGGAGAAGGAGCAGGGGGGGGGATGGGCAAGCTCCGTCGGAAGGTTAGCCGCCCACCCCTCGATTAAGATCCCACCCAGAGTAGGACAGCAAATGGCAGGGCTTTGAAGGGAAAAAACGCCGTAAACAGAACTCTTGGCGATCCGCGCGAATTTTTTGGATCCGCGCTGGACCCCCCCCCTCCAGGCGCGCGGAGCGCGCCAGGGGCGGGGGTCTGGTCAGAGGCCCGGGCCACGGCCAACCGTTCATGTTTATCCCCGTGGTTTCTTCGCGTCGAGGGCGAGGAGAAGCTTACTTACTTTTTGAACTGCTCGTTGCCTGCTCAAACTAGTGTACCCTCGAAACACAAATCAACTCAATAGGTATGAGATATCAGCAGGCCAAAAAATATCACGCATATTACACATCAAAAACATCTACATGAAGAGAAAAAGGCACAAACAGACCTCAATATGCAAAGGTTACAGCGAGTTGGAGCAGCGACGGTGGGTACAAGGAGTACCAAGGGGGGGGGGGGGGGGGGGGTGGAGAAATGGTGGCTCATGTGCGCAGTGCTGTATTTTTCCGGGCGCCTCCAGGCGCCAGAGGCGGCCGTGCATCGAGGACTGGGACCCTTGGTACCCCCCCCTCTCTCCCTCTCCCCCACCTTTCGTCTTGACTACCTACCAGACCACCCCAACCCAACCCGAAGACCCGAATTTGACCCGAATTTCGGGTTGGGGGGGGGTAGGGATACCATGTGTTTTTTTTCAACGTTCCCCGACACCCCCCCACTGGAAATGGAAGGCAAATGGAGGGCTTCGGGTTGGGTTGGGGTGGTTTGGTGGGTGGTGACGTCTGGCCCGAGAGGGTCGGCTCGCGCAGCTGGGCTCCCTGGCGCCTCCAGGCGCCAGAGGCGGCCGTGCATCGAGGACTGGGACCCTCGGTACCCCGCCCCTCTCCCTCTCCCCCCCCTTTAGAGGAAAGAGAACTATGCACATACACCGAATTCCGTAGCCATGCCCATCCTGAGGCCCACGGTCCGTGCATACAGCCTCGCTTACCGCTTGGCCAGGAGGTCATATGCACCGATCCTGGGGCCAAGATGGGCCTGGCCAGGAACCGTGCATGTGCATAGTTCTCTCGCCCGGAGCCTCGTCTGCCGAGGAGGGTCGCTCGCGATGCTGGGTCCTCCCTCGGTGCGCCTCCCGGCGGCGCCCGGGGGGCGGCCCCCCGTTGTCTCGACGGGCACCTGTGCCTGGCGGCGGGCCAGAGCATCGCGCGTCGTTGCAGCAGATGCCGCACGCTCCCCCCCCTCCCCTTTTTTTCCTAGTGAAGGGGCCCAGGGGCACACAAATTCTCCTCCTCCTCCTCCTGATCCTCCTCCTCCTGATCCTCCTCCTCCTGATCCTCCTCCTCCTCCTCCTCCTCCTCCTCCTCCTCCTCCTCCTCCTCCTCCTTCCGATCCTTCCCCCCCCCCGGGGCCCAGGGACACACGCGAATACACAGACACAAATCCCAGGACTCACCATAGTCTCTTATACTTCGTCCTTGGTCTTCGGCTCCCCCCCCGCTTCCCATCTGTTCCCCTATTTTCTTGGGAGTCGACGATCAAGTGTTTGCCTCCCGACGTATCCCCGCTCTCGTTCGGCCCGAGGTGAAAATACCACACACACAAAAAAAAAAAAAAAAAAAAAAACGTCGGAGCGAGAATCACGAATGCTGGAGCGGCGCCAGATAGCCAGACCCACGTTTATCGACCTCGCGCGAATCATGGCAGGCAGCAGCAGCTGGAACGCCACAGCGTCGTAGCCGCCGCGGCCGCGGGGGAAGAAGAATAAATCTTTCGCCGCGGTAAGATGTGACGACTATCTGGGAATGGCATGAATCAAGTGTTCGGTAGCAACTCATGGAAGCCTCCCATACCATCTTGTCGGCTTTTGCGAATCAGCG